CCTTGCTTTTCCAGTGTGCACATGGTAGTATGATGAAAATGCAGACAGCCCCATCAAGAGTGCCATGTGCTGACTCTCTGCAGACCTGACATCGGCCAAGGACTTGGGTAATTTGCATTAGTTTATGTGATATGCATTTCATAATAAAACATTCTTTTTGTATTTTTTATAAATTCACGTATGTTATTCTCTCTGGAAGTTATTATGATTTGCTTATTTCATGACCACCCGTCACAACCATAAGGTCCACACAGTACGCAAGTGCTCCAGAGCTTCCAAAACTACAAACAGGGACTAAAATAATAAGACTGTCAGTGATCGACAATAAAAGCCAATCTAAAAAATAGGTTTTTAATCGTGATTTAAAAAGAGACTGAAGGAGAGGACCTTATCTCCAGTGGAAGAGTATTCCGGAGATAGGTGTTACATGATCCTGTTTTTTGTCATTAGCCTAGCTGTGGCGCTCTGACCTAGTTGTACGCCACATAGTGATGACTTACTGATTCCTGAATACAGAGAGTTACAGTAATCTAAGTGGGATGAAATCAGGGCATGAATAACTTTCTCAAGATCTGGAGGTGATAAAAATGATTTTTATAAGATGATAAAAAGCCGATTAACTACAGAATTAATTTGCCGATCAATCAGTCAAAGACAACACCAAAATTCAGTGCATGATCTTTAACAAAAGTAAAAAGTTCCACCGGAGCAGGAACCTCTGGAGCAGGAACCTTGGGTGCGGGCACCACAGGGACTGAAACCTTGGGCGCCAGAGCAAGAACCTTGGGCGCGGGAACCTTTGGTGCCGGAGCAGGAACTTTGGGCGCAGGAACCTTTGGTGCCAGAGCGGGAACCTTGGGCACGGGAACCTCGGGCGTGGGAACTTTTGGTGTCGTAGCGGGAACCTCGGGCGCGGGAACCTTGGGTGCCGGACCAGGAACCTTGGGCGCAGGAACCTTTGGTGCTGGAGCGGGAACCTTGGGCGCGGGAACTTTTGGTGCCGGAGCAGGAACCTTGGGCGCGGGAACCTTTGGTGCCGGAGCAGGAACCTCTGGCACAGGAACCTTTGGTGCCGGAGCAGGAACCTCGGGCACAGGAACCTTTGGTGCCAGAGCAGGAACCTTGGGCACGAGAACCTTCGGTGCAAGAGCGGGAACCTCGAGTGTGGGCACTGAGGGGACTGGAACCTTGGGTGCGGGTACCACGGCAACTGGAACCTCGGGCGCCGGAGCAGGAACCTTGGGTGTGGGAACCTTGGGCGCCGGAGCAGGAACCTTGGGTGCGGGCACCACGGGGACTGGAACTTTGGGCGCCGGAGCAGGAACCTTGGACCCAGGAACCCTTGGTGCCGGCGCAGGAACCTTTTGTGCCGGAGCAGGAACCCTTGGTGCTGGAGCAGGAACCCTTGGTGCCGGAGCAGGAACCTCGGGCGCGGTAACTTTTGGTGTCGGAGCGGGAACCTTGGGCATGGGAACCTTCGGCACAAGAGCGGGAACCTCGACCGTTGGCACCCAGGGTACTGGAACCCTGGGTGCGGGCACCTCGGGTGCCAGAGCAGGAACTTTGGGCGCGGGAACCTCTGGTGCCGGAGCAGGAACCTCGGGCGCTGGAGCAGGAACCTTGGGTGCGGGCACCACAGGGACTGTAACCTCGGGCGCCAGAGCAAGAACCTCAGCCGCAGGAACCTTCGGCGCCGGAGCAGAAACCTTGGGCACGGGCACTACGGGTGCCAGAGCTGAAATCTCGGGCGCAGGAACCTCTGGCACTGGTGCAGGAACCTCGGGCGTGGGCACCACGGGTGCCATAGCAGGAACCTCGGATGCCGGAGCAGTAACCTTGGGCACAGGAACCTCGGGCGCAGGAACCTTTGGCGCCAGAGCAAGAACCTTGGGCACGGGCACCACCATTGCCAGAGCAGGAACTTCAGGCACAGTAACCTCTGGCACCGGAGCAGGAACCTCGGGCGTGGGCACCACGAGTGCCAGAGCGGGAACTTCTGGTGCCAGTGCAGGAACCTCGGGCGCCGGAACCTCAGATTCTGGAGCAGGAACCTCTGGTGCAGGAACCTTGGTTGCCGGAGCAGGTACCTTTCACACCTGAGCAGGAACCTCGGGCGCAGGCACCACGGGGGCTGGAACCTCAGGTTCCACAAGAGGAGCCTCTGGAGTGGGCACCACGGGGACTGGAATCTCGGGCGCCAGAGCAGGAACCTCGGGCACAGGGACCTTGGGCGCCGGTGTAAGAACCTCGGGTGTGTGATTCTCGGGCGCCGGAGCAGGAACCGCCGGGTCAGGAACCACGGAGGGCCGAGCAGGAACTGGAATCACGGGGGCCGGTGCAGGAGCCACCTGGTCAGGAACCACGGATGGCGGTGCAGGAACCACGGATGACGGTGCAGGAACCATGGATGGTTGCGCAGGAGCCGCCTGGTCAGGAACCACGGAGGGCCAAGCAGGAACCACCAGGTCAGGAACCACGGGGAGTGCGGCTGCGGTTTGCGCCTTGGCGGCAAGCGCTGCTCACTTAAGGAATTTTGGGATCCGCGGGATGGTGTCCTTAGGCGACCTTGCCCCAGAAACGGACAAGCTGCCAGCGCCAGCACGAAGACCACCGGATCCAGAATCGGGAGGGATTTCTCCCGACACACAGCAGGGCAGGCAGCGGAGACAGAGACAGCCCCAAGGAAGAGCTCCGTTGGGTCTTCCTGTCTTCGGCTTCTCCGTTTCTTTCTGCTGCACTTTTTTGGTGGAGCCTGGGGTACCTCTGACAATTCCGCCAGAAGACCGTAAGGCAAGCCACAGTCGGTGGCTACCTACCGCATCATCGCCTCTGCCAACCCACTCCTGAGCCACCGCAAATTCCCTCGCACTTATTACACGAGGTGTGGGTCCCTTAACGGAGACATCTTCTCCAAGATATCCCACGAACAAGCAGCCAGGGCACAAGCCGCACAGTCCGCCTGAACCTCAGGCTGTTGCAGCCAATAAATTGTATGTCTCACTCAGCTGAGGCATCTTGTTCGGGAGTCCCCAGGACGGGGGCCAGCCCATTTCAGACAGACAGTAAAATAATATAGGAAATAGGGAGTAATTCAAGACTTAGGCATGATAATTCTGCTGGGTTGACTTGTTTATCAGTGCTAGAGGGTAAACAGGAGGTGTGTTTGTAGAGGAACTGGGTTTTGGTAAGAAATAGCTACCTGGGAAGCAAAAGACAATGGGATGATGTTGTAAATCACAACATTGACAAATTTAAAAAAGGGGAAGAAGTGTTGGTCAAAAATTGCCCCCAGAAAGGGATTTGGGATGCAAATTGGACAGGTCCACATTAAACCGTGGACACCTGTGGGGAGGGCAATCTTAAGCTTAGAATCAAGCTTTTTCTACTCATGGTATGCCTTGCACTTGCGGACTGCAGCAATACAGCAAGCAGATGCATCATGTACAGCAAAGGATAAGCGTATCCCCAGCACAGGAACTACAATGTAACCAGCCACATCGGTCCCATAAGTGGGATGACTTCCTCGGGGCAATGCCAGGGCTCTGCAGGCCACAAGGGAGGAAGAAAACCACCTCACACGTCAACCAACACATTTGGGGAGCTTGAGTAGAGAATGGATCAAAAGTAAATTTTTGTGTCTTAGAATGTGGTATATTCTAGATTTTTGGATAATCCCTGTTCAATACAGCATACAACATACAGCTATATTATTGTGCAATGGGATCTGAAGAACTTAAACACATAATTGATTAATACCCATAAAATGATTTTGATAAAAGTTGATTTTCTTTTTTAATGTAGAGGGATGTGGGACGGGACAGCGCCAATATTGAGATGCTTACGATGCACAGACGGAAGGTGGTCTTTCTTGGTAAAATACAGACTACATACAAAAATTCTACCTTGATTCGTTTTGCTGAATTGCTAAAACAATAAACCCCATTCTTGGAACAAAGCTGTCAGTTTGCAAAACTCATCTATTGGATCAATAACTCATTTGGTGGAACTTTAAACTCTTCACCTAGTTAAGCACAATTTGAAGATCTAAGGCACCCTTTTTGCAAAACTCTAAACACATTCTCATTCATCAAAACCGTGGTGAACTTTGATGCAGAACGGAATATGCAAGCTGCAAAAGTTACACACTAACCAGCACACAGTAGTCATCGCTTGATAGTCAAACATTGAATGCGCAAAATGTAGCTAATCAGTAAATGCGTAAATGAGATTAGTTAGTAGACTGGCATTTTACTACTGTAAAATTTGATGGTCTTTGAACTAAAATACTGATGCACAGAATAATTAGACCAAAAAATGAACGGAAAAGTATTAATAAAAATATAAATATGGGGATCTGTGGGCCAATTACTAGTGATGGGAAAAATTGGGTTTTTGAGAGATAGAAGCAACCGAAACATGATTAGGAAAATGTTTTGAAACATTAAAAATATCACTTTGCATGCAGACATCAATTGGCCAAATAATGCTCCATTAAAATCACTCATAGGTGAAGCGAATAGCATGGATTATCTCATTACAATGGCACCTGTCAAGGGTGTAAGTGTAAGGATCTGAGTGACTTTGACAAGGGTCAAATAGAGATGAATAGACTGGGTCCAAAACGACAGGTGTCTTGGGGTGTCTCCGGTATGCAGTGGTCAGCACTTACCAGAATAGGACTAAGATAGGCCAACCTGTGAACTGGTGATGGGATCATGGGCGCCCAAAGCTTATTCATGCATGTGGGGAGTGAAGGCCAGCCCGTTTGGGCCGATCCCTCAGAAGAGCTACTGTAGCACAAACTGCTGAAAAATGTGATGCTGGCTGTGATAGACGAGTGTCAAGTATTCCTCGTGTTGATTATGATTTGCTCTTCAACATCTCAAGGAGCCAGTCACATCAAGAATAAGGACAAAATGCATAGTATGCAGGAGTCTGATACAATCTTTATTATGATGGTAATACCCTTGTCATTTATTTTGATAATTACCCTTTTAGGATAATAGTTTTTCAGTACCAGGAGTCCATGATTCGCCTCATGGACATGAACCTCATGCCACTGAAGCTCCTGTACTCCCCAGGCCAGAAGTACCTCATCCATCGGCCAGTGGCAGCGCAGTGCACCGGTCACACCTCCTCACACTATGGACTCATTCAAAGAAAGTTTGTCAGTGGAAAAGGCAAAAAGAAAATGATAATTGCAGGAACAATTGCTCTGAATTGTCTCCTGTTACTGCCCTGGAATGGTCATGAAACAAAACAGTTGGTAAAACTGCAAGATACATATAACTGCAATCATTTCAAAGAAGGTACCAAAATTTTGTGCCTTTCAGGCCCTGCTCCACAAGGGGGCTGATAAACACTAATTTCTACGAGATTTGGAACAGAGCAGCAGCAACCAGCTGAGGCATGTCTCAAAGACAAATCTTCAGACTTGAAAATATTACTTAAATTAAACGCTGAATACAAGTGTGACTGACAACATAGCTTTCAGAAGTTTATTGCATTCCAAAAAGAGCACGGCATGTATCGATTTCTCATTCCCAAAGTGCACGTGCAAAGCATGAGCAGCAGCAAATCAATCTCCTTTCCCGTTTGTGCCAATTGATATAAAAACACATGACAAAACCATTATATAGCATTTTGATTATTGTAATATGAAATCACTAAAAATACTATCACTAAAAACTGAGTTTGAACTGAGATGATGTTACAGAACTAGAATGGGTCTGTCAGAATGTATACATTAAACAAGCATGATACTCTTCTGCTCTCCGCGGGAGTAGCTCTGCTGCAGCCGGCCACAGGAAGGCTGTATGCACCATGAAGGAGATGGGGAAAGCCTTCGGGAGCCCCATCCCCAGACGAGTCGAAACCGTCGGGAGAGCTAATAGGGTCAGACCTGTTTGGGGATGGGGGCTTGGTGTGGTGCTGAGGGGTCACCTGCCGCAAGGTGGCACGTGGGTCCCAGTTTGAGGCAGCCCATCTGGGTAGGCACGTGGAACATCTTGTTTCTCTGGCAAGATGACCATCTTCCTCTGCTGTCAGGGGAGCTTCGTAAACTCTGCGTTTTGGTAGCAGAACTCTCTGAGGTATGCAGACCGGGGAGTGGCTGCCATACTTAGGGAATAGCTGTTGCGGCTCCTTCCGATGGTGTCCGATGTCTCTCCTTTTGACGAGCCCATCATGAGACTCGGGCTATGTCACTCCTTGGGTGTCTTGTCTGTTGTCTCAGTGTATGCTCCGACCGCAGTGAGTGATCTCTCATCGAGGGAGACATTTTACTCGCAATTTTGCTGGGTGGTTGAAGGGTGCCCACAAGGTGACACTCATTTGGTCATGGGTGACCTCATGTGCGACCACTGGCACTGACAGGGCTGGCTTTCAGGATTGTGTCGGTCCCCATGGGTCTGGAGACCGGGGTGAAAGTGGCTCCATGTTCCTTGACTTTGCGAAAGGTCAGGGGCTGCGGGTCGCTGGAACAGGTTCATTTTAATACACGTTTGTAATGTGGGAGGCCTTCTATATATAGTTCAGCTCCTTGGGTTGGGCATGAAGAGTCAAGTTTTTACTTGAAAGGGGAGGGGACTGGTTTCATTTCATTGTGTGCATGTCTGGGTCAAAGAGGGAAATGGAATTAGCTGAAATTCGTCAAAATTAAGTTGGTCACATAGGGACCCTGATGCCTGTCATTTGCTTCATATGACATAAAATGTCACCATTGTAATAAAGAAACGGTGAGGGGTGGCTAAGGCGCCCCCCACGTCAGGGGCTTGAGTTCAAGGGCCGCTCCAGCTTGCCCCCCCCCCGTCGTCACCAGGCTGTCATGCTGGCCGGGAGCCCTCAGGGTCATTGGCAGGATAGAGTGAATATGCCGCCCCCCCCACCCGATGAGCTCAGCGGAAAGAGGCAGGTGGCCGACGTCGCAAATGCTGAGCAGGGCGGGGGGGGGGGGCACTCACCCATCCCCCCACGCCGCAGGTTAACACAGGCATCCAGTCAGGGGAGGGTCAGTGACAGGTCAAACTAGCCCTTCCTGATTGGGGGGGATTTATTTACATTAATTTATAAAATAGCTATTGAGAAATTTAAACAGAGATGGGAAAAGTGACTTAGAAAGGGACAGAATCAGAATCCTTTTATTTTCTAGGGGCAAAAAGAACTAGGGATTTGTTTAGGTGCAGGTGGGGCCATGGAAGACACCATGCAACCAAGACTAAAATACAAAAACAATGAACAAAATAAATCAAATACATGAAGAAACAAAGATTTGTTACTAATAAACAAACATATAAATAAGACATGATGTAGTGTACAAACAGCTTTGGGGGTTGCACAAATGAGCTACTAAAGTCAAAAAATAATATAAAATACAGTGGGTGACTAATAGATCCCATCCTCACCATTACAAATCTTGTTATTGTACAAATATACAACGAAATTGCATTGCACCCACATAAAGAAAATACGGTTCCTATCTTAAAGTAATAAACAAATAAGTTAATAATTTTCAACACACCACGTTTTATTTCAAAAAGCTTGGACAATACAAGGACTTAAAAACGGACTCAAAAAAGACCACCTGCTTTGGTTTTCATGGCTCCTTCGATTTTTTTGTTAATACCTTAATCGCTAACTCGGTCAGCGGCAGAGGATGACGACACATGGGCAACAGGGATGTCCCACCCCCCTGAAGCGAATCCCTTAGCTTACGTGCTAAAGCAGACAGCCGGGACCCATCGGTCTTGTTATTGATCCTTCCCTTTCTCATTAGCCTGCTCCAATGGACGATCTCCCTGAGGCACTACGAAGGTCGACCTGCAGGTCTGCACCGCAAAAAAAGAGAAAACCACTCGGGGGACCGCGTCAAGTAGTGCATAGGTCCTGGCTCGGTCCAGCACGTGCTGTGGACCCCCCCGGCCATCTCACTTCATGAGGAGCTGAGCAGATTGGACCTCGTTATCCCTGCAGCTCCCACCACACGAAGACTGGGGGTCAAGCACGAACGACAGCTGGCCAACACCCAGGGGAACACCTAGCAGACCCCCCTAACACATTTATATGAAAGCTATACACTCAAACACATGCCACCCATCGGACAAGACGTGACCTGACCCGGTTTTGCTGCGCGCGAGACAAATGCATTTACACGGCAACCACGTGACCTGTAGACCCCGCAAATAAAAAGGAGGCGTTTTTAAATACCCTTCAAGCGTTGGTCATTTCAAGTAGAAACAGGCTCGAAATGCATATTTATAGATGCAAATTCACACTTATTAAAATATTATGAATTATTAGTTTTTTTCTTTGAAAGCCCAGTGTGTCAACAGCATAGGCTTGAAAACCAGTTCCAAGCATAGGAAACACCAGTTTCAGTGGGGACCACCAGTATTTGCAATAGTTACTGTGAACAATCGTGGTTATGATAGTGATACTTACAGGGCTAATCAGTCTGCATTTGTGTTTCATTATGCTTTCTTAATATGAAGTGGCTCGGAAATCTGGGGAACGATCCTGGACATAAAAGGGGTACATAGAGATATCTATAATTGTAAAAAAAATTAATATACCAGGCATCTGCATGATTAATGACTGTATAAATCTCATTAGTTATTCACGGGTTATTTTTGCAGACAGGTAAACAAAAACGTTCCACAACAAAGAAACGTAATTTCACCCCCCCCCCCACCACCACCCAGACACACAAGTGCAGACAATATGAATTATCCGCTTGTCCTCCAAGTACAGTAGGATGGATCATGTTTAATGAACGCATTTTGCGCGTGATCTACGGAAACACGAATCAGCCAAAAAAAAAAAAAAAAAAAAAACCTCCAAAACAATCAAAGGGCACACAAACGTACGATTTAGTTTTTTTGGGTTTGTGAAAATTTCGGGCTAAAGGCCATTTCTTTGAGAAAGAATGCCACCTGGTGGCCAGTTTAAGTCACAGGAGACAGGCAGTTACAGACACACGGCTGTTTTGCAGGACTTCTGCATAATTTATATTACCATTCCCTGCAATGACTGTTCATTGGGCTGAGGGCGTCTCACTGACGGGAGGTAGCGGTTACAAATCAGGATACCGACTAGAGAGTGAGGATTAAATCAGTGGATCCAGTCAATAGAATAAATAATGCCAACACAGCCAAGGGCAACTTAAAATTTTAGTCCAATTTTTATTAATTTTAATAAAACATGACATCTCATTACGATGGAAATGCATTTGATACTGGTTCCTAAAACTCCCAGTACCATGACATTGCCACCAGGTCCAGGCGTGACTCGCTCTCTATACCGTAAAGAGCACCAGGAAGAGTGTTTGTCAAAAGAAAGGAGACTTAAAAATGGCTTTAAGTACACTTAGGAAAGGGAAAAAAAAACACACGATTAAAAAAAAAAAAAAAGCTTAATTCCATGTTTATTTTCAGTAGCGGTTATTCTGTGAACACCCCAGCACAAACCTCAAAAACAGACACGTTAATGCATAATATTCTGACAGAAACAAAACATGTTTCCCAGCGTTGCCGAGTTTCTTTCCACAGCAGGTCACTCTGTACACCTTACGCTCTCGTAGGGGCGGAGCCAAAGGCCAATCTGCATCTTGTGTATGTTTAGGTGAACAACACAGGAAAACAAGTTAAATGGTTTACCAGCACAACTGCCAAATACCTTAGACAATATGGTTTAAAAAGCCCTAAATGATTCATATGCAGACAAAAATGATAAAATACACTCTGCACTGGTTCATCACCTGTTTATACCCAAAGAAGATACAGACGCACACAGACTCTGAACTGGCTGTATTAGGTAAGGCATATTTCATCAAGGGGGGGGGCTGTGTGTGTGTGTGTGGGGGGGTTGGTATCAAATATCAAAGTCGAAAACCGCACCAACCAGGGTCCAGTGCAGTCATTGCATAATATGGCTTTGGGTCACTGTGTCTCTGTAATGAACCAGCTGGTTAGCAACTGCGAAACTACATACAGAACGCAGGAGTAATGTTCAAGACAATGCTAATGACTATACGAGTGTTTTTAACACAAAGAATTCGAAATGACCTGGAGACAAAATACATCTATGACACTAAGCGCAAAGACTGGAGCCCCATAAATACAACTCACTGGATTCATCAGCTTTCATTTGGGTAAAGCGATTTATAACTCATCGATTCTACTCCCTTCTGAGATGACTGATAAAAAGGGTTTTGGCGGGAACACTTCTAGCTGGTCATACAGTGAGTGATTGGAAGATGTAGAGAGCATAATCTGTTTTTATTCAACTAGTCGATCCGGGGGCTCCACTGAACCAGAAAACGGAGTGATTCGGAAACATATGTATCAGCAACAATAGGGGGTACAAGGAGATATAACCAAACCCAGCAAAAATGCAGAATACATGAATGAGCCAAACCACATTGAAAAATCACTCAGTGCGTCCGAAACAGTAAGGACGTAAGAATGTTTCAGCGTGCCAATAATCCCCACAATCTCACATATTAAACAGCAGCAGAGATTATTTCTAAATTAGGTTTGGCAGAAGGAGGACAGGAGGGAAATGTGTAGGTATATTTAAACACGCACGCAAGCACACAGACGCACGCAAGCACACAGACGCACGCAAGCACACAGACGCACGCACGCACACAGACGCACGCACGCACCAATCCACAAGGCCGTTTTAAACAAAAAGCTAAACGTCTTTTTAAAAAAAAAAAAAAAAAAAAAAATAACCCAATACAAAAATAAAAGGCTAGCCTACGGTTCTTCATAGGGAAGCAAATGCTAATTATCTGCCCCCCTTTTCTTCATCGCTACTTCACCCTGAGAAGGGCTCCCCCACTTGGTCGAGCCTCAGTCCTGCAGGCGGCCGGCTGCTCCCGGGTCAGACTGTGCAGCAGCGGTTCTGGAACAGCTGCTCGATGACGGTGCTGTCAGCCAGCGTGGACACGTCGCCCAGGTCCCGCTCGTTACGGGCGATCTTACGCAGGACCCGGCGCATGATCTTCCCTGCAGTGACGATTCAGGGGTGTGGCAACCAGAACCAATAAGCAGGCAGAAAAAGCAGAAGAACCACAGGTGGCATTTCTGTATGCGGCACTGGGGCTTAGGGTCTGTGTCCGGAAGGTTGCTGGTTCAAATCCCACGGCAGGCAGAGTAATTGTATCACTGATAAACACCTAAGCAAAGCCCTTAAACCCCAAACCCCAACTGTTTATAGAAATGGCAAATATGCACATCAGTATTATCATATAACCAGCATAAACATGTTGCGTAAGTACAGGAGTTAATTTTCCTTAAACCAGAATCTTCCCAATATAAAGCAGACCAGAGGTTGAAACCCTCAAATTAAGGCAGGAGATTCTGGGTTTCACTGGAGGTCAACATAACTAACCCGTGTAACCACTGCGGATGTTATCAGACCTCCAGCGGCTTCCCTGACTATGTCCGCAGCTCGAGGTGAGGTTTCATGAAACAGGAAGTGGAAGTCAGGCCTCACCTGATCTTGTTTTTGGGAGCGCCGGAGCATTCTGCATGTAGTCCGGTGTGGCGATGGCGCCGATCTTCTCCCGCACTGTCAGAGAGGGAAGTTAATCTCACCACGCAGACAAAACCACGCGTGTCTATGGGACGGGGTCCGTCCCCATGCCTGAATACTGTGACCGAGAAGCGGGTACCCTTCTTCTTGAGCTCGGCCTCCAGGGTGGCGCTGTACTCGCAGCCATCCTTCAGCGTGACGAAGCAGTAGAGGCTCTCGCCCTTCACGGGATGGGGGTGGCTGACCACAGCTGCCTCAGCCACCGCCTCGTGCTCCACCAGGGCCGACTCCACCTCCGCCGTGCTCAGCAGGTGCCCTGCGAGTGATGGTCAGCGTTTCCATGACAACCCATCGTGACAGGAGTCGACACCCATGGCACGCCTAACCTGACATACGGCCTGAATACTATACTTATGATGAATGGCTACATTTCGCCACTTAGCGCCGCCCAACAGGCCTTACCGGACACGTTCAGCATGTCGTCGATTCTCCCTGTGATCCACAGGTACCCGTCCTTATCCCTCCGGCAACCTGAGGAACCCAAATTAGAAGTCATATTGGTCTCAGGTCATATATACCCCCCCCCCCATAGAAAACCGGAGCATAAACTTGGTGTCCCCAGTCTGGGGCCTCACCATCTCCGGTGACATAGTAGCCCGGGAATTTCTTGAAGTACGTGGTCTCAAACCTCTGCTGGTTTCCGTAGACTGTCCTCATGACACCAGGCCAGGGCTGTTTGAAAACCTGACAGCACACAGGCGTTCAGCACGTTGCCAGGAAGCCTCCCCCCTCCAGCGTCTCCCTAGCACCCCCCTCCAAGAGTGACGGCAGGCATTTACTGGCACACAATCCGGGCAGTGCCGATACGGGCCATTTAAAGCGAAAACAGGCCACCAGCTGTTCAGGTTCCGTTTGCTCAGACTCACACGGTCCTGCTGTAAGCACTGCGTTAACGTTAACGCTAACGTTTAAAATAACGCCCATTGTTCCGGTGAGCAGCTACCGTTGAATTTAGCAGCCATTGTTAGCATTAGCGGCTGTCATTCGATTTAGAGGCTATCATTCAATTTAGCGACATTTAGTTTAGAAGTTAATGTTCCCATTAGCGTCGACCGTTCCAAATATATCAAGGTTCTCATTAGCAACTACAGTTCAATTCAGCAGCTACCATTCGTCGTCATTGCCATTTACAGGACATTGCTGAAATTAGCGGTTATCATTTATGTTACCAGGTATCCCTCGTTTGGTCCCTCTAGCTCCTCCCCCGATTCATTCAAAATGGCAGGAACAACACCAAAGAAAGGAAACGTCTGCAAAAAAAAAAAAGAGACACCAACAAACAAATGGCCAGACTGTACCATGGAGGACCTGGGACTCCAGGTTTGGAGAGAATTTGCATTTTTGGCCAACTTAATTTTAAGAGGTGATGGAGGACGACTTACTGCTGAGCCAGGCTTCAGGGGGGTGGCAGCTGGGAGCGGAGTCAAAACGTGCCCCCCCTGGGGAGGGAAGAGGCAGAGTCAGGAAACCAGCACCGCCCCGCAGAGCCCAGTACTAGCCTGTGCGAAGCTTTAGCAATTTCATTAAGCAGCAGACTACAGCGATGCAGTAACTCTAAACGAAGCAGGTCTAGATAAACGCCGCTCACCGTCTCCGTCTGCCAGAAGGTGTCCACCACGGGGCACCGCTTCTCCCCGACCACGTTGTAGTACCACAGCCAGGCCTCCGGGTTGATGGGCTCTCCGACCGTGCCCAGTACCTTCAGAGACTTCCGGGTAAACCTGCGGTGGAGGCCGAAACTTCCCGTGAGCATTGAGGAGCAGCTAAGCCTAAACATGGTGTAGCACAACAGCATCAAAATCCATCGTGCATTCAAACTGGGTCGAATGGCCATTAAAAGGGCGCAAACTGGCAACATCCTACCTGGAGAATGAGACGACCCATCCAAACAAGAGGTTACAGCCAAAGTCAAGTTAAGTCAACGTCAACGTCACTGTCATTGTGCACGTGCACAACAAAATGCTAAGAGAAGCTAACACGCAAGACTGCAGGAAGAATGGGACTCCAAGGGGGGCAGGACTAAGAAATACAAATCCTCCAATCCAAGGTCCCCCATTTACGCATCTGAGGAATCTTCGGCGCCTCGTACGACTATATTCCTGCACACCATGAGGGACTCACCTGTGGACGGGCTCATCTCCGAACTTCATCAGCATGCGGATGGCGGTGGGCGCCGTGTAGAACTTGGTCACCCGGTACTTATCGACGATCTCCCACATCCGGCTCACGTCCGGGTAGGTGGGCAGGCCCTCGAACTGAGACGAGTCACAGTGGCGATGGCGCCAATTCAGATCACGTGACCCGGCTATTGCCGCCAGAAGTGACGACGGGCAGGGAGAGTCGTCTTACCAACACACTGGTGGCCCCGTTGGCCAGGGGCCCGTAGGTGATGTAGGAGTGCCCGGTGATCCAGCCGATGTCGGCCGTGCACCAGTAGACGTCCTGAGGCTGGTAGTCGAACACGTACTTGAAGGTGCAGGCTGTGTAGAGCATGTAGCCGCTGATGGTGTGTAGGACACCCTGGTCAGGAGGACAGTGAAGTCACTACACCTAAAACCTTCTCGCCATCATTTCACTTGATGTCGATCTTCGGGCAGGGGGGGGGGGGGGGGGGCGGCGGCGTACCTTGGGCTTGCCAGTGGAGCCACTGGTGTAGAGGACGAATAGTGGGTCCTCCGACTCGCACCATTCAGGCTCGCACTCGTCTGAGGCGTCCTCGACCAGAGTATGCCAGCAGAGGTCCACCTCGGGGTTCCAGGGAATCTGCGGGGGAGCAGAACAGGCCGCCATTAGCTGCCGAAATGGACCAACGGGTCAGGGATACCGCCATCACTGACCCCCGCTTTGAGTGCGGTCGACCGTGGGTAACAAGACACACTGTCCTGGGAAAGTCTCAGGCTGTCAAAGAAAAATGTGTAAGGCTATTTATCATGCAGCAATATGAACAGCGCTTCAGGCCCCAAACTCTCCTCAGGAGCACCTCAGCCATTTCATGTATTCGTTAAATTTCACCACTAGCTCTATTAATTAATTACTTAGGTAACTTGATGAGATATTGATTAGCCAAATATGGTATGCTAGTGCCCAAGTCAACAAATACTGTACTGGAAGGTTACTTCAAATACTGGGGTGACTTTAGAAGAGGTTTGGAGATGGCTAAGCTAACACACTTTGATAGACACATCATCATTATATAGACATGATTTTCTTCAACAGCCTTTTGCACAGAACTGTATAAAAACCACAAACGGTTTTTATATGTTCTGCTTCCTCATACACACAACCCTTGAGGGAGTTTTATTTATACAAAAATGTTCTGAGGGTAGGAGGTCGGTTCAAGCAACTAAGGGTGGTGGGACCAAGACATCTGATTGGTTGGTCCCACCTCCTCTACAATGTGATTGGTTCTCTCTCTGAACCAATCATTTTTCATTCTGCCCTCAGAACATTCTTCTGCAAGTAAAGCTCCCATAGCTGGTGAGTTTCACAGCCGTCATGGATGATAATTATACGTATTATAATTCATTTCAAAAGAGGGGGAACGCACTGGGGGGTTATAAAGAACAGACTAAAGACAGAAAAAGAAACAGCTCGTGACTGGCCGGCTCGCACGCAACATCGTTAGTACTACGGCGTGTCTGATGTTAATCCGCAAATGCAGCGCTTAAGAGGGAAGGAAAATCAAACGTTTTGTAAGAGTACAAATCAAAACAGTCAAGTGGGAGCGTTCAGCCAACTAATCCGCATATAACTGTTAAAAAGTACCACACCAGTTCCTGGGGCCTCAATTCAAATTCAGCAAAGGAGCCTGAATTTTCCCCGAGAGTCCAGGTTAAATGGCAGGACAGGAAGGACAGACAGTCTCAGCTACTTAAACAGGTTAGCTGGACGTTTCTATCCAGGACACAAATCCTCAACCCGGATAGAAATGTCCCCCCATTTAAACCGACTGTCCATTAGCAACAGGGCATAGAAACATTTGCTCAGTCAGTTGGTTCAATTTATGGCAAAATCATCGTTTTAGTGATCATCTACAGGGAGATGTAGATCATTCTACAACAAATTCTGATTCAGTTAGGATTATGGTTAATAGGAGTATTATTTTTTAGTATGGTTATGACCACAGATTACCGTGTTACTAAGTAATATTGGTGAAGTTGGTGGAACAGAAAGAAACCAGTGTGCATTTGACAAGCCAGGAAATAACAGCGTACTCTCTTAAGTATCTGGACCAGTTTCCTGGAATTTCAAGCCATACTGCGGAATAATGGCGGGTTTGCGATCACAGAGAATCCATCGATCTCCATTCCCTGAGCCGTTTCTACGCCCTGGTGGCCAGCAAGAGAACTGCACAGGCGTAACTAAGCATGCTCTCAGTCTACACTAGCTGGAAGCGCTTCAGGGGGAAAACGGCGGGAATCTGCGGGAGCGGGAATACCTGGGGGAGGGGGCGGGCTTTCTTTACAGTCCCTTTGCGTTCCTGCTGTTAAAGCCAAAGGTTAATGGAAAAGGATTTTCAGTTAAAGCTGACAATCAGGGACCGAAACGTCGTTAGAATGAAGCCTGACCGCTCATTAAACACAGACTCAGAGGCAACGTAGAGGTGCAACTGAGGTCGATTCAGTAACAGCGAGAGCCTCTCCGCAACCCAGTCAGTACCTGGCTGTGGCTCTCACCTGTAGGTTGGGGCAGGTCCGCTTCGCCGGGGGGGACTGGGACCCCAGGGCTGGTGAGGGGGCGGGGCACTCTTTGGACAGATGTTTCAACATGATGCACTTCTGTATGGAGAAGTTTCTGGAAACGACACGGTAAAAATGCATATTGTATTTACCATGGTCAATTCTTCATTGCTTAAACTCTGTCTGACAGATCGTAATGGCCAATTAACGGGAGAGTAGGAGGGATTAATTTTCCTCCATAACTAGGATTCTGGGTATTCCTAAGCAGCAGTTCCTAACTACCTCCCAAAGACAGACGCAAAATATGGAAATTGGAGTGCCCAGTCGAAGAGATCGATCTGAACCTAGTTTTCAAAATCCAGACTTAGTTAAGACTATTTTTGAAAACAGACTTATTTCATGAACCTCCCTAAATGTAGGACATTATATTACATCCCTTAAAAACAAAACAGACCTGACAGTGACGGCAAAATCAAACTAGAGCATCTAGAACTTTCTGAGTCTGCACCTGCTGAGCAGAAGCAGACTGATAACGGACTGAGAGACGAGATTAATGAACAAAAACTGATGATATGTATCAGGTCGGTGTTGGGGGCCGTGATCAGGGGCTTGTGTTCGGGGCCCCCAGCCCCCACATCCTTACTTTTCTTTGCATTTCTCCAAAGCGTCATCTGCGATCACCTTCAGGCTGATCAATTTGTCCCCTCGGTAAAATCCATCTGCGGGGTGGGGGGGAGGAGCATGAGTGGAATAGAGGAATTAAAGGGAAGGAGCCCACAGAGAGCGAAGAATAGAGTGAAAAGACAAACTTATCAATCATTTTATCAAGCAGATGAGATGTATAACTGCAGGGGGGGGGGTAATATTTATTTTAGGGTCTGAAAGAGTAGGACATCTTTACAAGAGGAGAAGTGAGCTATCTGAATCGGGACAACAGCGGCATGGAAGACTGCAGCGGTCCAGGATGACGGGGCGTGATTCGTACCTGCAGTGATGAGCAGAGAGCACTGCGAATCCAGGATCCTCTCTGACAGCGACTCGGCGGAAAAGCCTGCGAACTGAGCAGGGAGATGCACGTCAGAGCCTCGAGTCACATACACCTCCATCCATCCATCCATCCATCCATCCCCAATCGCGGGGTCACCCTCCCTCCATCCGGAGGAACCATAAGAAGCAAGACCAGCATTTTAATAAAGCATTTAAAACATACATTTCCAAATTCTAGTAATTAAATGACCCACACTGTTATTGGTTAACATGACACACTGATACGGACCTGCAGTTTGATTTGTGTGTGAAAATAGTTTTTGGGCTGCAGAGATTTGCTCAGGCCGATGGGTACGGATCCCCCTGCGGTTTCGAAGTACCCGCTCACTCACCACAATGGAGTGGACCGCCCCGATGCGGGCACAGGCCAGCATGGCCACCACCAGCTCCACAATCATGGGCATGTAGATGGAGACGCGGTCACCCTTCTTCACGCCTGTGTGAGCGCGCGCGCACACACACACACACACACACACACACACACACACACACACACACACAGTTAATTTACAGTACATTTACTTAGGCATACAAGTGAGGAAAGCTTGGGGTCAAAGCACAGGGTCAGCCATCACCCAGTGCCCCTGGAGTAGTTACAAGCCATGCTCCAGGACCCAAGAGTTACTGTGTGATTTGAACCCATGACCTTCTGGATGCAGGACTACATCCCTAACCTACTGAGCTACGCACAACCCCCTTAATCACAGTCCGGATAAAGGGCCTTGCTGAAGGGCCAAACAGTGGCATGCTTAATCTACTAGCCATGGGATTCGAACCCACAACCGTGTACTTCCAACCAACACAGGCACCGCTGTGTACATGACCCGACTCCTTGTTCCCCCTCACACAGCACCCCCCCCCCCCACAAATTTCCAGTGTCCATCACACCAGTGCCTGTCAATTCACAGCATACATCTGTCCCAAAACATCAAATCAGCCGCTTATTCCTGTCACTATAAAGAGCAGGCAGGGATATGGAGGGGGTCCATACCCAGAGACTTCAGGACATTGGCGAGCTTGCAGACACGCTGGAGCAGCTCCCTGTAGGTGATCTTCAGCTCATCCCCTGGTTCATTGCCCTCCCTGAAGATCAGGACACGGCCGTCGTTAATCACTTGCTTTCAACTGGTTAACATCACAAGGAGCAGTGACGTCACATCCTGGAGCCTTTCATTCTGCATTCTTAGCTGATGTGGTCACCGGCATGAAAGAGTTTGTATTTTTAAAGGTTACTCAAACATACAGGAGAAGGGAGGGTGTAAAAAGTCACAATAAAAGTCAAATGTACATGAACAGAATGTCCGTACAAGAAACTGAAAAGGCCGTCGACATGAGCTCATTAAAATAATGAATTCTACAGCCACCCCCCCCTCCAGGATACAGCTAAAGTGACCAAGGTCACCCACAGTTTCTCTTTCTAAAATAAGCTTCTCTTAGCCTGCAGTGACTCCCAAATTATTTTAATCCTGTCAACTGGATAAAAATACAACAGAAACTGACAAAACGACCAGCGATTAACAGTCGTGATCCTCTGAACAGGAGCTAGAGCTAAAGTTGGCACGTCTGCACTGCAAAGTATTTTACTGGGGGGAGGAGGCACTGCCATCTACAACAGAGGAATTTTATTGCATATAATTATTTACATTCTATTAACAGAAGCGTTTATCCAAAGCGATGTACTCTTAAATTAAATACTGGGGGGGAAAAGTCTCTCCATTACCCAGACCCCTGGTTTGGAGCCGTGCTCAGGGGGCGACCCTGGGTTTAAAACCAATACCCTTCCTCTGACTGGCACTGCATCCTAACCAGCTGACCCACACATCATCAGAAACACATCAGGGGCTGCTTCCACAAAACACCTTCAGTTAATATTTTCCTTAAAGTCTGAGTTAAACTTTTCTTAACATGAAGTCAGCAGCACAAAAAACTCTTCTCCTTAAGGTTTCATTAAAATGTTTACTTAAGAATTCACGTTTTTACCCATATCTTGGTCTTATACTTAAGGAACCCATTTGAGGCACATTAAACAGTTGCACAAAAGACCATAGCAACCAATACGAGGGGAAAAAAAATAAACTAAAAGGTACCTCTGACTGCATCTTAACCACAACACGGCCAAGTTAAGCGATAAACAAAGAAAATGAGCATATCCTGTGAAGAAAGTTCTATAACTGAGAACCCAGTGGATACGAATAATGATAATCAATTGATTCTGCATTATAGATTTGACAGGTAATTGATTTATGATTTTATTTATACAGCCCACGACAGGTTTATAATTCATTTAATCCAAGTTAGCGCTGCTACTTGTCTTAACCATTCAGCAAAGTTTATCGCCTTTTGCTCACTCAGTAGTTCTTAGTTGAGTGAAAAGTAGCTATTCTTAGTGAACACAATACAGCAGCAGGAACAGTCCATCATCAGATAAGGATGCAGTGGGGACGAAATCTGGCTTTTTAAATTCCATTTATATTCACTAGACGAATAATCTGTTTCTACACTGTCATTAGCACATATTTTAGTTACATTTTTGTTTTAGTTATTGTCACGTAGAAAACCTTTGTCAGGCTATATTCTTGTCTGAATTTTTGTCAATTAAATTAAAACTGGAGGGAAAGATGGTGGCGCAGGAGGCAGTGCTATCGTTCGGCAACCAGAGGGTTGCAGGTTCGAGCCCTGGTTCCTCCTGACCCCATCAAAGTGTCCTTGAGCAAGACACTGAACCCCAAATTGCTCCCGGTGTGCAGGTTGGAGCCTTGCATGGCAGCCTTCGCCACCGGTGTGTGAATGTGAGTGTGGATGGGTGAATGTGAGGCATAGATTGTAAAGCGCTTTGAGTACTCGTAGGAGTAGAAAAGCACTATATAAATGCAGTCCATTTACCATAAGGATCACAAGCAGCAAGCAATCAAGTGGTCTCCCTGGAAATTGTACAATTTTACTGTTGTAAAATGTCTTTCAACGCTGTAAATCCCTTAAAGTTTTTTTCTTATCTAAAGAAGGAAACCTTTTAAGGCATTCTGTGCAATACCCTTAAATAAATACCTCAGCTAAGGAAGAATTAAACCTTAAGTGTCATACTTAAGGGAAACTTAAGGGGATTTCGTACAGCCGGGCCCAGAACTTTAATCCCAACATACGCAGAAAAGTGAAGAGTAAATCATGTAAAAAGTTACACTATTTCAACAATAGTTTTCCTCACATTAACCCTCAAATGAGTACCTGGGGTGGGGGATTTTACTCCAACAATCAGATTGGCATCACATGCAGAGACCCACAGCGCCCCCTGGTGTTTCTCAATGACCTCAGAGGGCAGTGAAATCCCTGGCAGGTTTAGGTGCCAAGGAGGGGTGAAAGCCTTTCTCCACGAACCGGGCTCAAGTTAACTGAGAGAGAGATCAGTGTGTCCCCAGCAGCACTCGGAGGGGGACAAACTGCTAATCTCTGCTTCGCAACATCGTCACGCTCACCATGCACTGCAAACAGCAGGGTTATCGTCGTTCACGACAACTAACAAAGTAACGAAAAGTTAATGTGAAAAAACATTTTCGTTAACTGAAAAATAAAAACAAGGCTTCAAGAAATAATACCTAAACTGTATTGTATTGTATGTTTACGAAACTAAAATTACAACCGTGGTGATACAGTTAAGGTTAAAACTCGAACCCGCTTTCAGGAGTATTTCAGTAACCTATAGATACGCATATCCCCACATAGATCCTCAAGCAAGAATAGCAGGGAGGTATATGCGAGATTAATGGTTCGGGTTTAAACCTTAACTATGACACTGCGGTAAAGTTAGCTTTATATTCAGGTTTCTGGCTGTAATATCTTTCAACAAAAGAAAACAACCCTTTGGTTTTCCAGAGTTCTTTACAGGCAAATTTTAATTAACATTTCCAATAGCCCAGCTGTCTTGTTTACCATCACCAGTGAATGGAGACAGTGCAATTATTAATTAATACATATAGAAACACATATATGACAGTTACATGGTGTGCATTGTCCCCCATAATTTAATGCTAAAAGCTCTGAACTGGACACGTCTGTATCGTTTAGGTTTATACTTATTAGTCCGCAAATAAATTCTATGTTTGGTACTATAAATGGATACAGTCCAGTCATTATTAGTAACGCAAAAGTATTGCGAGGGATAGCAAAAGTTCATCTCAACTTTGTGAGATCTTGCAAAATTCCATTTTTTTCCCCCCAACCACCATTTCTCCCCCCCCCCATGTCCTATCCAGGGCTCTGTACAAATGACAGGCACATGATGGCACAACATTTTCTCACATATTTGAAACACAAATGCCTTGCATTACTAAAAACTAAAAGCAGAACTAAAACTAAGCATTTTCAAAAAACTGAAACTGAAGTAAACTCACAACCCCACTTTAAAAACTAAACTGAAATTGAAAACAAAAAGTGAAAATGAAATAAAAACTATTGAAAAGGAAAATCTATTATAATCTTGGTGACCAGGCACACAGGACTGGCCAGTTATACACCTACTTACCCTAGACCTGCAATATTCACAACATTAAAATGTTTACAATGCACTGTGTTTACATACTTGCCATAAATATCATTGTATCTATCGTCTTATTCATTTTCTGTTTAATTGTGCTCAGATTTTAGCACCTCAATTTGTATCAGTGTTTGTTTACTGTTTACCGGTTGACAGAAGGAAGATTTTCATTGCATAGTGTGACTGTTTACTGTGCACATGACAAAACTGAGGGGTCATGTGACCAACCAAGGTGCACCTGTGATGTCACAGACAGCCAGATGTGGGAATGTACAGCAAATTGGGGGGGGTGGGCAGCCCTGCCCAGAGCGAATACACAGCCAAGCTGAATAGAGGCGTCCAAATTTAGAATGGATTTAGTGAAGGACGCGTCCAACGTCCGGCGAAATGCCTGCAAGCTACACGCACCGGAGCAAATTCCTTCGACACTTTTTCTGTCTGGGGCTATTAATACCCTGCGGTGGGGCAGTTTGGAGACGGTGGTCAAGCCGTCAGGACACCTCTCCGCATGCTGACATTCATTACTGAGATTATTTCAGGGCTTAAAAATAAGCAAATCAACGAGGGGGGGGGGGATGACTCTCTGGAGATTCAAGGTTTCGAAAGCTTTGTCATTTGTACAAGTACACTGAGATGTTTGCTTGTGTATCGCCCTGCAGAGAGAAACGGCTTAATCATCTGCTCTTGCGCACACAGGCCGCGCTGTTCACTGGGGCCTTCGTAAAGCAAAAACGAGAAGGAAGGGATGTTGATTGGTCCATCTGCCCAGGTGACGAAAGTCCACGGCAACCGGAATCTAAACGGTTGTTTACTTTCATTAGAAAACAAAGGGCATCTGCGATTGTCCCAGAGTCAGAGATAAGGCCTTTAGACGTAAACTGTGTGTGTTTCAAATATTTTGCTCCAAAACTGCGAAACAGCCAGCCCAGAAAAGCCCCATTTAATAGCAAGCACATTGGGGTACAGAAAGCTAATCGATACTCACCTGCTGTTAATTGTTACTATTAAAAGGAAAAAAAGACTGACTAATCCTAATTAAGATCAACTACCTTCTGCACTGTCAATTAAGGTGAATGTACTAATACATTAAGCTGTCAGGTTAAGTACCAAGTCCAAGGGTATAGCAGCTGTGAAACATGCAGGGACTTGAACCAACAACCTTCAGGGCATGTCGTAAACTTTTTGCCCCAATAATGCACCAGACACAGATTATCAGCACAAGTTTGCTGGGACAAAAGAATGTTGCAGAACAGAAAACTGAACGGCCTCATGGGGGGGGAGTGGGTGCTAAAATAATCATAATCTTGCCTAGCAGTCAGCCAGTTATGATGACTCTTAATATTCACGGCTACATTCACGGCGAGAGCATATGGGTATTACAACAGCTTGAATACCCAAAAAAGTTTAAAACTTCCTGGTAACTTTGCCTAAGGACGTTAAAAGAAGGACAATACAAAAAATGCATTTAACGCTTAAAGGATTGTTACACGAAGGACATACAGGTGCATCATCACCAGTAAATAAAAAAATGTTTATCAGCTTGTTATGCCCCATTCAACACCTTGCAGAAGTATCTTGCCTAGTAAAGACCTGACTGGCAGATTTAGCGTGTCTATTTTTAAAGGATGGCAGATTATGGCAGTCAGAACTGAACTCTTGACAAACTGGTCAAGAGTTCGTCCCCTTAACCTGTTTATCAATCACTGCCAATCATAGCACACTGCACCTAGCAACCAATCAAGAGCGTCAAATAATGCACCGAAGAGCCTGGCCCACAAAGACAGGTGGGGAATTAAAGGCACAGCGCACCATTCTCTGCGGTTTCAGACTCACCAGAAAAACGCCACCTTCTCCCCCAGCTTCTTCTCATGGATGTTTCGGTCCAGCAGGTTGTAGCAGATGTTGGTGGTGGCCCCGTCCATGAACTTCACATACACTTTGCCCTTGGTCACGTCAAAGTTGTAGTCCAGAAAGGGGCCCGTGTGCTTGGACTTCCAAAAGTAGTCTTTGGCAACATCACCCCAGAATTCTGAAAATAAGCACAGAGAGACAGGCGAAATTAGTGCAGACTGGACACACAAAAGGAGAGAAGATGTAGAAATGTAGCAGCTCTGTGGGACACAGTGCCCTTAGCCAGAAGGTTACTGATTCAGATCCCTTGGACAATGGCGTAACCATTTGCCTACTGGGCTCTCCAGCAAGGCAAAGTGTAAATCTGGGTATTTAACGATGCCATCCGACAATATAATGATGATTAAACTACCAATAAATAATCAGTGCATAAACAGCCTACTCTTCACAAAAAGAAAATGTCAAACTTGGAAAAAGTCAGCGGCTTAGGACGGACACGTCCTTTCTACACCAGGTAGGTCATCGTTTTTAATGCAGATTTCATTCATTCAGTCCTCACTGCTTGGACAAAAACTGCACTCACCCGCAGGGTTTTCCACCGACTTCAGGTAAAGCTCCTTGTACTTCTCGAAGCTGGGGACGTGCGCTTCTTTCTTTAAGTCGTGCGCCAGGTACACGTCCTCCCTGGGAGCTTTGTCCGGAATCATCCTGGCCTCCCCAGTGCTCAGTGAGCGGCCGGTTTAAAACTGCGGACAGGGTGCAAACAAAAAAAGCGGGTGCGGGTGGCTTGGCACGGGGCAGATCGCGTCCTCCGCACTTATCACAGCTATCAGGACCCGGAGCGGATGGGCGCACTTCCTCATTCAGGGAACCGATTACCGCGGGACTGCTGGAGCCACACGGAGAGCGTGTGTCGGGGTGAACGTGCGATCGCGGACGGAAGGAGGGTTCCGCGGATGTAGGAATGGACGGACCCAGGGGGGGCTCCAATCTCCAACCCCGCCAACTCGTCCGAAAATGCACGCTGCCCCCCGACTTATAAGGAAGAAACTGCGCAGTTACAAAGATGTCAGGTTCACTGCAAAATATCCGTGCATGCCGGCTGCATGTTTTTAAAGGTGGAATTATATAACGACTATATATACTAGCCAATAAACAAAAAAGGACTATTCATCCAGCACCCAAAATAGATGCAATTGCGGGGAAATGAGGCCGCCTTCTTTCGGAGGCTGCAGGCTCCAATGTTAGTTATACGCACCAGCGAGGAAACTGGACTCAGATTGAGAGTTAACGGAAAACAAACGCGCATTTAGATATGATCACACATATTAAATCAGATAATGAATGGTGGCGTTTGAAGGTTTTAATTAAAGCAGCGCACTATACCCCTAAGCGTCAAGGCTCCTTCCGCGAGAGCTCAGAGAACTCAGGCCAACGGCGGGCCAGGCGGAGCCTCGCTGCTGCCATGACTGGGCGTGGCCTGTCCGCTCTCCTCCAATCACGGCCCAATGCGTACGATGACGCGTTGGGTTTTCAAACAGCTCTTAAAGCGACAGCGCATAAGGCGAGAGCGTGAGCGTCGTCGTGTTGCGTAAAGCTTCTTCCTGAGTTTCATTGTTGTGTTATTTTGTAACCAGCTGAACAACTGCGGTGGTTAACGTGTGCGAGGAGTTGTTTTGCTGGACATCGGAGCTGGTGGATGTTTGATTTCGCGTTACATTTTAATGCAATGCTAGTCTTTACGTTGACACTTTGCAACAACTTACTGAGCCATACTACTATTAAAACATGCCATAGTTGTGCTCTGAAGTTTAAATGTGGATTCTTTCTTTGCGAATCAAAAGTCACATTTGTCGTGTAAATGTGCTGTGAGTTACTCCAGTGGAATTTCACTTCCTGTTATGCGATTGCAGGTCAAGGTCTTTCACAAAACATTGCACTGAATCATTAACAGACGTTTGCGTCTCGCTACTGACTTCGCCCTTCAAAGATAAACTGTTAGTGGGTATGTGAGATTATTTACTCATTATTACCTTAGATATCCGTACCGACTGTAGTGTGCTAAAACCTAATATTGATGGTTCGAATCCCACGGAGAATCGTATTTGTCTCCGAGCTTAAAGGTTTTCTTTTTTTTTTTTTTTTTACTATGTTCCACTTTTCTTCAAAATATTATTTATTAAAAATAAGAAAATATGTATTGTAATGTTTTTTTTTTTTTTTAAATATGACTTCTTCAACACATACCTGCATGTTTCAGCTATATATATATAGCTACAATTTGGAAATAACGTGGACGTTTTAGCGTTTACGGCAGTGTGAGGTTGTTAAGTTTGTGGTCTGGTAAAATATTTCACACACTTAAGAGCTGGGAGTCTTGCACATCCGCGATAAGGGCAGAAACTGAAGACGTCATTTCCATGTATAATTCCCGTTTTTCGCAATATCGAAGATTCACTGAAGCGTAAACTCACACTGACGTATTAAACCACGTCATCGTTCTACTCAATATGAAGCCTTTTGCTCGTTTGTCAAATAATTAAAAAATAACCAACAGAAAAGTTTCAGAACAGATTGCGTTAAGGATATTTAAACTAACCTTAATTTAGTACAGAGAGTAACCCCGCAGTACAGAGAAACCGTGCAAACTCCACACACACAGAACAGAGATTTGACTTTGAATTCATGCCTGAGGGTGTGAAGCACCAGTGTTATGCAATGAGTCACCCCAGCATCCCATTTTTCTTTTAACTTCTGCTTTTACAGAAGATTAATTGCTGTTACATATCACTTAAAAAATATTAAGTTGACTCAGGGGAGTTTCTAGCTATTGAAAAGATCTATAGTTTACCTATATGGGCTTGACTTTTTTTTTTGCTTTTGAAGGAAGATTGGCATCGGGGCTAAGATACTCGGGGCTATAGCCCCAAGTGATCAGACCTAAAGACGCCTGCATGGATGTGACTTAAATATACTTAATGAATACAGGCAGTCCCCAGGTTACGATCTGTCTTTAAGTAAAATTTGCGTAACTCGGAACAATAATAATACAGTTGGCGTTTATAATAATAATAATAATAATAATAATAATAATAATAATAATAATAGTAATAATACACCTCCGTATCCGCGGGTGATACTGTACGTTCAAAGACCTACCACAGATAATAGTAAACCATGCATCCGCGGACCCCATATATAAAGTCATTTTCCTGCACTTACATGTGTCAATTAATACATTAGGCACAGTAAAAAATCACTACCTTTAAATACAGCAAAGTAGTCTGCATTGTTGCTGTATACTCTCTGGAATGAAAGGAATTCTGACGTTTTAGCCCAATTCTCAAGAGACGATAGGGCAATTAAAAATATTATCAAGGGATGACGAAACAATGAAAATAGTGCTTTTTATACACGCCAAAGAACAAAGGAACAATGAAAAACATACTGTCACATGTTTTACAATCTCTTTCGGGACTCCTGGGATACAGCACTGTACTGCCCCTCAAGCCGACGAACCGCCGAAGCCGTGAAATGTTTTCACAAACGTCACAAAGTAGTTCGCGCATTTAGCTATTACGATCCATTGTTTTGAAACAGGGCTTATGACAGTCCCTTTGTGTGGGGGACCAAATCACTCACAATTATAATTATTTTTAAATTATGAATAGGCCTATATTAACTTAATGTATTAGATATTTTTAAATATAGAATTAAATTCTAAATGGCTAAATTAAATAGCCTAATTACAAATTTAATGATGTATTTATTAAATTAGTTTATTGTGATTGATTTCGTCCTCAAGACGTTGGCAAGTACAATTTGGCCGTAAGCCTTTAACCCGGGGACTGCCTGTAACTGCAAAAAACTAAGTAGAAGTCAATGGTGTAACGGTATAGTCTACTCGCGATTTGGTTTATAGGGTCCACGGTTGGATACGCTCCCAATAGGCCTGTATTGAACAAAATTAGACCGAAAACAAAGATCTCACCGTTTATATAAACTAAAGCGGTTTTCAAACCATTTCTTTTTTATGCAGTTTTCTCCTTATTCTGCATACCCCAGTGCAAAATGCAAAAATATAATTGCAAAGCAAAACTGAGATTGTGTATTGCGCCCTCTTGCGATAACATTAATGAATGATTTCGTGCCACAGCGCATTGTTACACCCCACACAATGCACACCATCATATTTTTGAATCGCGAAGTATCGTGCCACAGTGCAATGATACCCCCTAGAAGCCGGGGCTCGACGGTCCAGGAATACGAAATGTGGCTTTGTTTGCACAGGTGCATTGGAATATCTCTTTTTACATACCATACATTACATTACATACCTTATCTTGCTCATTCTGGGAGCCATTTATAACTTTGGGGTGTATTATGTATTTTGGGCACTAGGGGGTGTATTGCGCGGGGTTGTTTGATCACGTGAGGACAGGTGGGTATGAATGGGTGTTTTCCTCTTGGACGGGGTGGGGGGGATGGCGGAGGGAACACGGTTCTTTCCGTAGCACCTGTAGACAGCATGTTACAAACAGCGCGTCGCTAGCATATTCTTCAGCAGAAGTGTTGTATGTTAAAGCTAAAAGTCCTTTTTCATGTGAACCCAACTGCAGAGACTCCATGGACATTGGTCTCAAAGCTACGCGTTGAGAACACTTGGTCATCCACTCTGAGGCTTACAGGAAAGCCTCTATACTCACCTTTGAGACACACACACACACACACACCTAGCAGCAAAGTTTGGGATCTCAGTGTTAGGTCAGCCATTTATGTGGTACCCCTCGTATCTTTGGGGGAGGGGTGAGTTAAGGACCTTGCTCAAGGCAGTTCAGATATGTCACTATGCTACTAAGGATGGGATTTCAACCAGTGACCTTCTGATCATAGACGCAGCATCTGAACCACACTGAACCACACAGCACCAACATACCATTTATGACGTTACTACGGGATCGGTGACTTAGAGAATTTAGGATTGTTCTGGAGAAGAGGCCATACGGTCTAGTTACAAAGAAACGAAAGACAATGTAAATCAATGCAGACACTGTAAAATATTACACAATGCTAAATAATACAGACATTGCTGAACAATACAGTAAGTGCAAAACAATATAGATAATGCATAACAATACAGACAGTGTATGTCCGTGTTCCTTAGACCCATATATGCTAGGGCCAGTGTTGCTGGCAGCAGTGATATGCATTGAAGTGTAGCCCCTCAACTGAAAAGATGTCCTGTTAAGGGGTGGAGGAGGAGTTATTGGAATCAGTGACTTGGAGAGACACCGCCAAAGTCAATCATAAAATGAGGAACCGCAACTAGGCAAGGTGTTTGACGACCTGGAGCTTAAGATTGTCTGTGCAGGACAGGAGTGTCGACATTATAGGACAAAAGTTACATGATAGGCTGGCCTGAGGACAAAAGTGACATGATAGGTTGACCTGAGGTCAAGTGCCAGCCCCATTGATGCACTGCATGTGAGCTCAGCCCCAGAACACCAGCTTTGATACCTGACCTCACACCAGGAATGAATGCTATTGACCTTCAGCAAGACTGGGAAAAATCAGCTTCTACATCAGCAGAATACACTAAACTAACAGGTTTGGGTGAGGGGGTGAACTTTGGTAATTGTCGGATGTCTGAAAGCAAAAACAACCAAAATTTTGTTTGTAAAAAAATGGCCATTGACAGATTCTGATAATATAATCACACGTGTTTATGGCAATATATCATTTTCATCCTCTTCATGTTACACCCTATTTGCATGGGATATGGTACCATGTCCCCGCACACTTAAACACCCTTTGCCATTGCCCATGAGCTGTATCTGCGTCTCAAGGTCAGTGAGCATCAAGTTGGAAGAAGAGAAGAAGAGACTTGCTTGGCCGGGAACTTGCCCATCGGTGCCCCCTGGTGTCAAGAACAGAAGAAACCCGTGTGGATGCCAGTAAGCCAGCGGCGTTGCTGGAGCGGCTCTGCTAATCACTCAGGAACATAATCCTGGGAGGACAGCGGAAGTCTGACTGCCTGAGACACAACTGGAGGAACCACAAAGAAGGACACAATGGAAACATCCTGGACAGCCAAGACTTTGCGAAAGATGCAGTTTTATGTTTTAACCACCAGATGTCACTTGCAATCTTGATCAACGGTCAAAACCAAAGTTTATAACTGCAGCCTCATGCCTCCAGAGTTGTGGTTTCTATTCCTGATTCATCTCTGTGTGTCTGGAGTTTGTATCTCCTGGCCCGTCTTTGTGTGGCTGTCCTCTCATGCTGAAATGGACTCAGTAGTAAAGTGGAGAACTTCCACTGCTGTAGGATTCCTGATTGCTGTATGCATGTTGTGACCCAACCTGGCCATTGAGTTTGCACCTAAATCTCTATATATCTTCTGGCACAGATACCTCCATGTTCTCAAGTGAGGAAGCTGGGCCATTTTTACCCAGTTAAAATCTAAT